TTTTTTTTGGTTAACTGAGGAAAAATGCAGTAAACTAATTTTCTAAAATGCAAGGGAAGTCAAATTTAGTACTTGGGTCAATTTTCTTCTTAGATTTAAGGCAAAAACGAGAAAAAACAATAAAAATCTGTATTTTTGATCAGTTAAGAAAAATGGCATAAAATAGATTAATGATAAAATGGTTAATTCCTCCAAGAAAAATGACCTAACTCTCACAATGGTTAGAATTATTCAAAAAGAAGAATAATAGCCTTTAAAATCATTCTGCAGTGCATTTTGGCCAAAGAATATGTATCTTTCAGATCTGGACAAAAGGCTTCCATGACCAAGGTTCAAGAAAGCTGTCGTTTGGTAGTTTGGGACTTAACAGTTGCAATTTCTGAGACCTGTGAAGGGGTCTGCAGGGTCACATATATTTTCAAAGTGTTTACTCTTTCATGCAATGTCACAACATGTTGAGAGGGCTAAACTTTGAATTCAGGCAGTCTTTACTGAGCACCCACTATAGGGAAGGGAGGGCTGTGCCTTATTGACTTTGTAATACCCAGCAGAGTAACAACCACAAAGCATTTTATGTGAAAGCAGAGTTGCCCCATTATCACACACGCTAAACTCAGTCACAAACCCTTTCTTCAAAATCTGGGTTTTTTTGGGCTCACGGAGACCTGTCCAGTATGTGGTTTTGTTGTCTAAGATCTAGATCTGGAAACAGTCAAGTGGTGAGCTGCATTTTCTAATTTCTTTAATATGGCTAATAAGAAGGTCTGTTATTATACACAAAAAAAGGGCCAGCAGATAATTCTGAATGGCCGCTCAATGGAAAGAAATCTAAATAGCTTGGGTGGGTGTAGCAATCATTGTGCTGTTGCAGTGGTGGCTTCTAAAAAACCCTCAATTTCCCCAACTGCATTCACATTTGCCAAGGGAATGGTGAGCCCTTTATGTGTATGAGTTCATTACATTGTGGTGCTCGTTGGAAACAAAACCTGAATCAGTTTAACATGTAAATTATAGGCAAGAGGGTACATTTTAAGGTGGTAGGTATGTTTGTACATATTCTCTACTGCTTTTAGAACTGAAGTAATAGCTCTTTGGCTTCCGCCAAACTACCTTATATAATCTTTCAAATAATGGCACTGACATCCAAGAACAGGAAATGTTTGGCAATACAGTTTTTAGAAAAGGTAACAGTTGTTTTGTTTTGTTTTGGGGAGCAACTAGTATTTGCTTATATCAAAATGATAGGCTCGTATGTTTAGAAAGTAGTTCCATTTGTCTTAATATGTGCAAAACCATACTGGATAGTATTAATAAAAACTGAAATTAATGCTATTTTTTTTTTAATCAGTATATTATAAAGTAACCAACCTGGTTAAGGATTAAATAGTACAGGATAGAATGGGAGAAAAATGTAGAACAAAACTCAGATTTTTTTTTAATGTTCAAATTATTATTTTTTTATTGTACTTTAAGTGAAAGTTTACAATTTAAGTTAGTTTCTCATACAAAAATTCATACACACATTGTTATGTGACCCTAGTTGCTCTCCCTGTGCTGTGACAGCACACTGCTCCTTTCCACCCCGGATTTCCCGTGTCCATTCAACCAGCTCCTGACCCTCTCTGCCTTCTCATCTCACCTCTGGACAGGAGCTGCCCATTTAGTCTCATGTATCTACTTGAGCTAAGAAGCACTTTTCACGAGTATCATTTTATGTC